AAAAAAAAAAAAAAAAAAAAAAAAAAAAAAAACAGAACAAATCGACAAAACATGTGCGCAACAGTTTAAATCATTTCACCTGAACATACATATGTAGATAATATACGTATACGTGTTAAAATCGCTCCAAGGCTGCATTTTTCAATTATTATTTTTTCCCCCCCCTTACTTTACCTGTAAAGTGAATAAGACAGTGTATATTGACGCGAATATATAGCCACTCATATGAATTTTTTTTTTTTTTTTTTTGTTCGAGCGAGAAGTTTTAAAAGAACAACTGTATATGAGACACCTTTCTGTTTTGCATAAACTGCTTGTCTTTTTTTTTTTTTACGCGAGCAGATATGTGCGCATGAGCATGTATAAATATATTCACACAACGTTGCATTCATACGTCTGCATATAAGTGGAGGCGCAGGGACAGAGCCCCAGGGACGTTTGCGAATCCCGCGGTGCACACGTGAACCAAGACCCATAAAGGGAAACACCCACAAGGGAAGTTGCCCATGTGTCTTACCCACCCCTCCAAACATACATATACCTCTACACGATGTTTTTGTGCAGGATATTTAGGAAGATGGTGGTGGTGGTGACATTAGTGGTGGTATTGTTAATCATAGCATCGGTGTTGTTAATTCTTCATTTCGTTAATAACTCGAGTTCAAGTGACAAATTTCCCTTTGGAATTGGAGTGTACACATACGAGGTGGTGTTTAAGTACAACCACATCCACGACCCAGCCATTGGCAAACAAATAAATGTGGGGTCAAATGTTATTCCGATCAATGAAGCACACTCGCCATTCACACAAGGATTATTCTTTATTGATAATGACACCCTGCTTGAATCCTCCGGGTTATATGGGGCTAGCTATATCCGAGAATTTTCTCTTTCATCAGGGAAAACCAAAAGGTTTCATAATTTAAAAAGCAACGTCTTCGCAGAAGGTGTGGCAATTGTCGTCGAGCCAATGACATATAGGAAGTTTATCCTGACCCTCACGTACAAGGAAAAAATAATTCTCGTTTTCGATTATGAAAGTATGGAGTTGTATCATTCATTCGAACATGAGCTGGATGGGTATGGCCTGACCTCCAACATCGACCTCCTACAATCGGTGGAAGATTTGAAGGAAGATAAATTTGTGCGTCATCAGAAGCTGTGGACAACTACTGGGGATAATTATTTATACGAAATTGAAATTCCATACGAATTTTTAAAAACAAAAAAATTGACCATATCAGGGAAGACACAAATTACTTGTGCGGGTTTTTCCATTTATCATGTGAATGAGCTGGAGTACCATGTGCAGGCCAAGACACTCTATGCTAATATTTTCCTCACCAACCTGATCCTGGAGATTGACATTTCCAAGGGCACCTGCCTCAAGATCATTGACTTGTCCGGCCTCGTCGAGAAGTGTGACAATTACGTAAGTGGTGTTGCGCGAGGTGGCATAATCGTGGTGTCGGCAAGTGTGCACGTATACCTTTCGCGTGACCTACCTCCACACAGTTATACCATGGCTTATATATACATTTTTGCGCCCCTTCTCACCCACAGCAAGAAGGCATGAAGAACAGGGAGTCCGTGCTCAACGGAATAGCGATCGACCCTCAGAACAGTAAGGCCGACCTGCCCAATCTGCTTGTGACAGGCAAGATATGGCCCAACATGTTTCAAATCAAACTCGTAAGAAGTATTAGCAAGTTGGAAGCCACTTCGGTTCTCAGTGAGTACTTCAAGTCGATTGGGAAGAACGTATCATGAGGGCCTTCTTCATAGGGCAATTATAAAAACCGCTGCGCGTGAACATCAACATATGTTGACTCCAACTGGAGGAGACGTGCATTTAGATCCGTGTGTCCGCCTCGTGAGGCTACCATTTTCTCTTCATCGCCATCAGCCCCATATGTCATTGCGATGCCGTATATGGGGATCCCTTTTTTTTTTTTTTTTTTTTTTAAGTATGTGTGTGTAAATTCTTCTCCCTGGATGCACACGTTAAGAAATTTTGTGTCTACGAATTAACGGCCTGCCTAAATTGCGCTATTGATTGCGTTTTTTATTTTATTTATTTTTCAGCCGTGTAATAATGTTTCTGTGTTAGCGAGGTGCCATCTGCGCTTTGCCGTGCGGTGGCTGGGCCATGACGCTGTTGCTACCGTGACTGCAACTGCCAGTACAACTGCTACTACAACTGATACCAATGTGTTTCTTTTTTTTTGTGCTTTCTTAAACAGACTTGGTATATCACTAAAGCGTTGATATAGAAGTGGCGAATGACAAGGGTGCCTTCAGTGTTTTTTTTCTGTGTCGCGCTGGCTGCGCAAAATAAGGTAGTGAAGTGGGAAGGACATTTTTATTTCTGAAGTTACGTCCTGCAACGGAGTCCTTCCAAAGATTCCTCCAACACTGACGATCCCTTAACAAAAGTGAACCGTCCAAATAGGCTTTTTTTTGCCCTCCCCTTTGCGAGGAAAAAAAAAAAAAAAAAATATTGTCCCGCATGTTTCGCACACGCACAACTACCTCTGTATTATGGGCCTGTCTACAATGTGGACCACTCCGTTGTGGCACTTCATATTTGGTCTGATGATCTTCGCTCCATTAAGAAAAATGGAGTGGTCGCAATTTTTAAACTCCCCTGTTATTTTTACAAGTAGGTCTTTGTTAACTAAGTTGGTGATTTTTTCAGGGGCGTCCCTTTTCTCGTTGAACACAAGCCACTGCAGGGGATGGTGGAGCGCGCGTCATGTTGGTGATGGTAAAAGGGTACATATGTGGGTACATGCACGGTGGCACAATAACTCAGTGGAGGAATAACTCGAGGGATAAAATGCACACACAAAAGGCAACTCACCGGCTGGTAGGAAGATCCGTATAGGTCTCTGTAAAGCCAGAAGTCCTTTGTGAAGTGGCCCAAAACAAATTCCATCAACTTGTCCCCTTGTTCATATAATTTGGATAAACTCTCGGGGCTAATTAACTTCAAAGCTTCGTTCGAAGGCAGGAACCCCGTGTAGGGGCCTTCCAAGGATAGCTCGTGTATAAGGGAGGTACCCACTGCGAAGGGGATGCATTTGAAAGGGGTGTGTGAGTGTGTAGGGGGGAAATGGGGAAAAGCAGATCAATGTGATGGGGACCCCCAAATGAGGAAGAACAAATAATAATGGCTCTATAAGGACGCAGCAGAAAGGTATATGCACCCCGTGAAGCGAAATTTGTGCGCATATTAGATCGCACTGCATGTGTCCAAATCGGAGTTGTACCATTGGGATGACTCAGAAAGCGAGAAAAAAATTTCAATTCATTATGAGAGTATATCAAATTGACCAACGTCCTCTTAATAGGTTTGTGTTCAAAGCACCAGTACGTCTTCCTGTTAATACTTTCGGGATCGTTTGTCACCTTTTGCGGTTTCCTCAATCCACCACTGCGTGTGTATAGCCTTTTAATGATATGAAAAGGGGGGCGGCTATTTTTCATTCTTTTGTATTTTACGCCTAATGTGGTGGTGGGGATGTGTGCGTGTAGGTTTTGTTCAGCCGTTCGAATGCTCCGTTACTTGGCTAGCAATTTTTGGCAGCTCCTTTTGCAAATCGGGAGGGATGAATCTGCGATGATGTTGGTGTTGATGAGCATACGAGTCTCCCCATTTTGTTAACAACGTGTAGTCATTCAGGAGGTTCTGTTGTACTGGGGGTAGGTGCCCTTAAATGGGATGCCTACGAAGGGGATGTGAAGGGAGCGGGGGCATACACACGGGTACAACTCCGGTGAGAATGCGGCTGCAACTGCGCTTAGGATGACAATCACATGTTTTCTGTACCCATTTGCAGTGGAAAAAAAGAAGAATAGGCACAGCGAAGCCACAAAATGGAGCAAGCAAAACGACCTCCAAACTGTGCCCATCATCTGTGCATACTTCGCGCGAAAAAAAAAAAAAAAAAAAAACGCCACGTTTTCGCAGTGTGCCAATTTTTCTTAATCTTGGAAAACGTGTGTTCCCATTTGTTGTTACATTCGTAAGAACTATTTTTTTTTTTTTTTATTTTTACCTGTTTGAGACATTGTTATTTTTTTTTTAAATTTTTTAGATAGTCAGTTCATGTGCAACATGCGCGAGGAAAATTATGCATTCCTGTGCGAAGGTTTTTTATTGTGTACTGGACAAAAGAATACAAATTTACGAGCGAGCGTAAGCGATTTGAACGAGTGGACTGAAGTAGGAGCACACGAATCCACCTGAATGCCTTTTCCCGTCCCTCATTCACATGTGTAACATTTGAGGATACCATATTATAACACGACGCGTCAACAATCGGGTACGTACTCCAACGGAAAAGTGTGCCGTAAAGGGGAGTTCCGCAAATTGTTCGCCCGGGTCTGCGTCCTTTGCCCAGTCGTGTTTGTGTGGCCATTTCAAGATCTTCATGTAAGGGGGGGAAACAAAAAGGTACACATAGGAAGGTGCACATAGGAAGGCACACAAATGGGTACCCAAACAGATGCATAAGCGCATACGGCGACGCACACATACACACGTATGACAGACCCAGCTGAACTTATGGGTATGTCACCCAGCCAGAATTGCGAAGCCGTTGTTGTTTAAGCAGTCACATTTGGGAGACCGACTTTTGTGAGCTCACATCTACGCTTACGTGTGCGCCCATATGTACACGTGCATACGTGTCGGCCCCTTTGTTCCCCGGTCAAGATTGTCCCACGTGGACAGAAAAAAAAATATATATCATAAATAAAGCTCTCATAAAAAAAATACCACAAACAAAGGCTATCACAAATAAACTGCAATAAGAAAGGCAAACCGTACGGCGAAGAAAAACCGATAGAGCGTCCCAGCTGCGACCCCTGCTGAAGACCAGACCCAGCAGTTCGGCTAAGAAACCACAAAGTGTGAGGCCATTACGCCCACATATATACACCCGTGAAGTGCTTAGAATACAAAATGGAGCACCTCTCAGTGACGAAGAACAACCTAGCGGTGTACAATAATCAGGAGGCATACTCAGAGAACGACCTGTTCTACACCTTTTATGACAAATTTAATGAAATTTTTCTGTTCATACAAAATTTGAAAGAAAATAAAAATGATTTGGAAGACGAAGTAGATGACAATTTAATAAAAACTTTACACAGCTTATGTCTTGAATTTTTAAATTATATCAAACACATAAATGATTTTGGTCATATGAATTTAAGTAAAAATGACCAGGATTTAATAATAGAGTCGTATGAGAAATTTGTGCGACAGTGCAAACAGTACAACGACAAGCCACAAGTGAAACAACTGGAAAATGAAATTTCGAATTTGCTCGACCTGCTCTTTAATAACACATCAGGTAAGGCATTACAATTGCAACAGCGGGGGGGGGGAAAAAATTGTTGATGCAACCCCCATTATTATTGTTCTGATGAAGATACATTTCTTCCCTTTTTTATGGACTAATAATTTTCCCTTGTTCCTATTCTCCCCTCCCCACAGAGGCAGTGAATACCCTCTTCTCCGCGGACTCGTTTTTTATGGATCACGTGGAAAACTTGAAGCTGAAGTAGGATCCTCAGACATGCGGATGCCGTTTTATGCGCCGTGCTCTTTCGCATCGGCATTTATTCCAGTACAACAGACACAATGCGAACCCCGTTCCAACCCTCCTCAGGCTAACCGAAAGAAACCAAAAAATCGAGTTCGAAAAGGAACGAGTGAAAAAGCTGGAGCTGGAGGCGAAGGTGGAAAAATACGATGAGATGTTCGAGAAGAACAAGCAAAAGGTGAGCATCACAAATGTGCTCACCCTCCATATGTATACCTACGCATGAATAGTGTGTTCCCATTAGTATGCATACTGTGTTGTTAGAGAGATATGTAACATGAGCCTTCATTCGTATCACCATACATATGTGTGTGGGTGTATGAACATGCACAAATCCGAAAGCAACACAGGACTAATACATTTGCTGCATATTTTCTGTCCCCTCGAAGAATAACGAAATGGACGAAACGTTAAGCAAGCTTAAGAAGGATATCAATAAGGTATGGAGGCTCGAAACGTCCCTGTCAGTGCATATACTGAGAAGTGTGTGGAATTTTTCACCATATATGGAAAAATTATGGCGCAATTTACCTCCATAACCTGTCTCCATTTTGTACCCCCTACCAGATGAACGAAAAAATACAAAAATACGACAACTACGTGAAAAAGAAGCGCAAAGAAATCGACATCAACTGTTCGGATACGCTGGACTGCAAGGAAAGGATTAAACTGTTGGAGGAGCAGTAAGAACAGAGAGTCGATCAAAGGAGGAAAAAAAAACAACAAAAATGTACACACACGTGTGTGTCTTGCTTGTCACATGCATCACATTTATGTTTGTCTCATCACTCTCCTTTTGCAGCATAAAGACAGCCGAACGGAACATCAAAACAACGCAGTTGTCGCCCCTCAAAATTGTAGAAAAAACGGAGCACTACATCATTTTCGAGTTTACGGTATTATAAATGTGTATATTTATTTTTTATTCATTACGAATGGATTTTTTTTTTTTTTTTTTTTCCTTTTATGAAAATCTGTTTACCTTTACCTTTCTGCAGACAATACGAAGGGTCATGCAATTCAAAGTGAGTAATTATCAGTCAAAGAATGCGCAAGTGGAAATCAACCCCTGTGACGAACATATTCTGTCTTACATAAAATCGAAGATATATAAATGCAAAGATATTTCGGAGATAACTTACTTAATCAAAGAGGTACTTTTGTATGAACCGTTCAGGCAGAAAGGAGTTTTTTTTTTTTTTTCTTTTTTTTTGTTCATACAATTTTTCATGATTTTGGCTAGACACATAAGTTGCTAACGCAAAGTGGCATTTTTGCAGCACGCTGTTATGATCTGTCCTGAGTGTGAATGGACCCAATACTTTACCTTTACTACAACCCCCTTTTTACCATTTCATTCGTAGGCTATATACTTAAAATTTCTGGACATTTAAGCTTATCCTTCTTTTAACTATTTGGAAGAATAATCCCACATAAGGGGATAAACAAAAAAATTCCTCACGTGTGCGTGTATTATTAACCGTTTCGCTTTCCATTAACAGTGCGTTGTTGCATAAATAAGCAAACTGAATTTTCATGTGTATTTTTTGAATTTAAAATAATTTGTTTTTAGTGTAAATGCATTGAATAAATGCCTGTTATGTCGTGTGTCTATTTATGCGTGCACATATAGTGATTTCCCTACCCCCTGGGGCATATTTTTGTACTCACCTTTTTTTTCTTTTCCATGCGTTTGAATTTAATGCGTCAAAACGGTGCGCTTCAATTGTGTTTAAAATAGTACTAAGTAATGAAGGTGATAATTACGCGGGGTGGAATGAATCCAAAGCAGCCGTTTATGGAGCACCCCGTGGAAAAACTTCCGTCGCACATGGGTGTTGTAAGCTCTACCAAATGTGCAACTTTAAAGGTTGTCTATTGTCCTTCGCCTCATAAGGCTTTCCATACGTACATGCGCATTTTTCGCTCGTTTGGAAATGTGGGCCAAGGGAAGATGAGAAAAACACTGAACAAAGCAAATATTTGGCCACACTTCAACATAACGCAATGTGGTTAGAAGTATGGTCCTAACTGAGTTTTCGTAGAATAACGTGCTCGTTGCTAGTTCACTCAGCAGGAGTTGTGTCATTGCTTTATGGGAATGCCCAATCGAAGGTGACATTGTTTCGCGCCGTGCATACATTCAAATGGCAAACGTTCCATCAACAGCGAAGGAGTTGATAAAAGGGATAGCTAAGTGGTATATATGACACGACTACTGAGCCAGTTACTTCGTTACGGGAAATGCCGACTGTAAGAGCACAACCTGTGAGTTCTTCTTTTCAAAGTTAAACCGAGCCTCTATTTCATATAACAACCCGCTTACTATCCATTTCGCTGAAGGGACAAGTAGCGATCTGTTTAACAGTGTGTAAATGTATGTAACAACAGTAAGCATGATATGATCCAATGGGGACAACCTACGTGTACTTAGTATACATCCACCCAACATGGAAAACAAGCAGAGAGAGGTACCATCCTCAAGATAAGTTATTAGACCGCAGTTATTCATTCCTTTTGCTACGTATGTGCACAGGTGTTCACGATGCGCTGTCTACATTCACCCCTTCTTGCAAATTGGCCTAATTTTACGCAGCGGCTGAAAAGGAGTTCCCTGATTTACACGTGCTTGATGTACAACTGGGTTTACCGTTGGTCAAGCATTTAAATAGACAGGCGGAGACCTCCATCGCGATCGCCATGAAGGACATTTTGCGAATAGGAAATTCTTTCGCATGATCAGGTGAACAAACCCGTTGCAAGGTAAAGGGGAAGGGGTGTGTTCAAAAGGGAAATCATTGTCCTTTTTTTTGCTTCCTTAAAATGACCTACCAGTCAATACAGTGTGCACAAGTGTAAGCGGATGCAATGAGACCATGACACAAAATGGATAACAAAAAATAAAATTGCACGCTTCGTTGTGAGGAAGTTCCTACTGTTTTTTAAAAAAAAAAAAAATTTCCTGCTAACTATGGATATACTTATACTGATATACAGAGTCGTCCAGGCAAGCACTGGAGTGGGGAAAAAAACTTAACAGTTGGGCACACAGCACATATGTACAAGTAAATTTGTCCATTTTTGCCATTTTTCCCGATTGAGTGTTCCCTGGCGAGTAAAATGTACATATACACCAATATGTACATAATGATGATAGCGAATTGAAGTCATCACATGAGATGGGGAAAAAAAAAAAAAAAAAAAA